AAAGACTTATGGGTAGAAAAACCACACAAAGTAATTTACTACACTGCATTATCTTATCAATTGTATGCTTAATATAAAGCTAAAATATATTCGAAGCTAGTCTGTAATCATAGTATGTTAAGATAGTCACCCCACATTGTATTATTCATTTTCTTTGTTAAAGAAAACACTGACTTCTGTCTCCTGACCAAAGACTACAATAATGAGATTTAATTGTGTATCCTTTTTCCTTTGACCTTTCTATTTGGTCTCTGATTGCTCACAGGGAAGCCTTTGGTGAGCGTCTTCCTCTTCCGTTGCCTGGTATGCACCAGGAGTTGGGTTTATGTACAGCATCTCCTTAATCCTCGTAGCCACAATGTGAAATTGACATTATTGTCCTCGTTTTACAGATGTGAAAAATGGGCTCTGAGAGATTAAATGACTTGCCCAAGGTTGATAAGTGAGAGAAGCGGGATTGAGCCCTATTCTTCTCTTAGAAATCCAAGGCCCTTTCCAGTATATCAAAGGAGCATATTCTATTAAGAATGTGCAGTTTTGAAAAAGAGAAAATGCTTCCACATTTTTCCTAAGCAAAATATGGTGTGAAAATATTTTCAAGCATTTCTACCAGCAATTATAAGAAAATATTTTGAAAGCCCTTGGGTATCCAAGCAGCCCTTGATAAAGCATTTGCATAAGCTACAGTGATTATGAAGTTTGGTTTGGTGCCACAAACACTTATGGATAACAGACTCAATTCTGTCAAAAATATTTCTCAGCTTAATTGTATGTTTCTTAGCAAAGGAATAACTAGGACCTGCCCAAAAAGGCATACCTAGAGCCTCCCAGGGCCACCCCAGCCATGTGTGCCATTGGGGACCCTGCCCTGGACCTTAGGGGAGCCCACTGTAGAATGTCAGCTGTTGCTCAGGCCCTTTCCCTTTGGTATTTTCCATGACTCTTTCTTCTATTCTAGGAAAGTAAGCCGGAGCAGTGCTTGGCTACAAAGGGCCACACTACTGGAGAGCAGCCATCACAGCTTGGCATGGCTACCAGGTACAGTGAAAGTTGTCTTAGAATGTTACACTCAATTTGTTAGAACTCCAAAGTCACAGCATGTGCCCATTGGATGCTGACCATTGCCCTTGAGTCGTTTCTGACTCCTAGCAACCTTATAGGACAGAGTAGAACTGCCCGTGGGATTTCCAAGGCTATAAATCTTTATGGAAACAGACTGCCATGTCTTTCTCCTATAGAGCAGCTAGTGGATTCAGAACTGCCGATCTTTTAGTTAGCAGCTGAGTGCTTAACCACTGTTCCACCATAGCTCCTCTGGATGCTGACAGGGTTCACTGAATAGCACAGGCCTTGCACCTACCTGGACCTAGGTACCAGCCCTGACTCTGGCATTTGCTCAGTGACCTGCAGCTATTTATTTAAATTGGTTTTCTTATCCATAAAATGGAGGCAGTTGCTCCCTTAGATAACTAATTTATAAGGTAAAAATAAGTCTTAAATGAGACAGTGTAATGACAGCCCTTCTATGGTTCTGGCATAGTTTGTTGTTGTTGTTATGTGCCGTTGAGTCAGACCCAACTCATAGCGACCCCTCCTTGGGTTTCTGAGGCAGTATCACTATGGAAGTAGATTGCCCAACCTTCCTTCCAAGGAGTGGCTGGTGGGTTTGAACCACTAGCCTTTTGGTTAGCAGTCAAGTGCCTTAGGCACTATGCTATTGAGTTCCCTCTGGCATAACAGCCCTCAGTATTCAGATGTTATTAATAATAAACAACAACAGTAACATTAACAATGAGGTGAAAATACTTATATCTGCTGAAGGAGCTTGTCTTTATCTATAGTTTAAATACTTAAAGGATTATGTTGATATTTTTTAAAGTATTGATATGTATTTATATTAACTTGGCATAGGAGTGATTGCATTTTGATAATACTGATCAGTATTAGTGCTACTTTGTCTTCAGGTTATTCAATTTGTGTGGGATTTGAAGGCAATGTTAAAGATAATGCAGTTACTTACTAATTACGATGATGATAGTATATATTGGCACTAAATGATCTGAGTGAAAAACAACTTTTATATATGACCTCATCTTTACAGTACTCACAGGCAGACAGAAAATGCTAGCAAATTAATTCAGGGCAAAATCCGTATGTTAATCATTTTTGTATTTTGGAGGCAAGCCAATGCCTCAAACATAGTAGGCATTTTATAAATGTTGCTGAACTGTCACTGAACTGATGAGATTTGTCCAGTGTTTTATTGTTAATTTGTAGGAGAGGCAGGCTTAGATTTCAAGTCCTCCAACTCCTGGCCAGAGCTCTATATCTTAAACTGTTATGTTTCTAGAGTCAAGTAGTTGGGAATAGAAACCCATGTATTATGTCAGGTGGCAAGTAGGAAAAATACATCTTCATTGTTCTTTGTGAAGAAGAGTAGAGAGGTGAAGTGTGCAGAGCCTGGTAAAAGTGTTAATCAGTATGACTCTAAATGGCCTGAGTCATCTCTTGGTTGGGATATTATCAAAGGAAAACTTTTCTGTTTTCCTTGGTGGTACCTGTATAGTGTTACTTGCCACCTGACACTCTCCTCACTCATTCTATAGGGAAGAGTTTTCATGCAAGAATATCTAGATACATTTCCAACCTGGAATTTTGACTTTGGCTTTGAAGGAACTTGGAAGAGAGAAGGCAGGTATTTTTAAGATGGTGAACAGGCCGAGAATGTACTGACCTTTGGAAAGATCTACAAAGCAGCCAGGATAGAACCTGGTATCTACTGAACAGTCCATAAAGGATTGTTTAGTTCTATTAGTGGGAGGCAACAGGTTGTAATGGAAACAGCACACTTTGGAATGAGGCAGATCTGGTTTGGAATGCTGGCTATGCCATTTACTAACCATTTGACTTCAGGCAAACTACTTACCATGTCTGACAAAGGCAAAAGAGTGATGGTAATGCACAGAGCAGCGGGAGGAGGCTGTGACTGCGTAGGAGGTTGAATCTATGAGACGATATACAAGCAAAGATGCAAAACTGTATGTTATATGCAATTTAAACCAGAGGTTTATTGTACTAAATGTGTCCTACTGTCTTAAGCTGGGTTCTCTAGAGAAGCAAGACCAGTGAAGCCAGTCTAGCTCTCACCTCATTGGAGTACCAAAAAAAAAAAAAAAAACCCAAACTCATTTCTGTCGAGTTGATTTGACTGATAGCAACCCCTCCCTGGGTTTCCGAGGGATATACACGCACACACACACAAACACACAGAGAGAGAGAGAGAGAGAGAGAGAGAGAAATTTATCTCAAAAAATGGCTCACGTAGTTGTAGAAGCTAGCATGTCCCAAGTCCATGGGTGAGATGTCAGGCTGAATGCTTCTTCTGACTCACAGCTGCAGGGGCTGACAAACCCAATATTGACTGGCTATACAGTAAGCTGCCAGGTTTGGAGGCTGACAAACCCAAGACCAGCAGGTAAAATGGCAGATTGTTGGCTCACAGGTTGTGAAGGCAATAATCCCAGGACTGGCAGTCATTATGGCAGGCCACTGGTTCAAGTCCAGATGATGATGAGCCAGATGCAAGATCTTGAGCAAAAAGTAGAGATCTTTGCCAGGACATCATATATATTGAAAGCAGACCACAATCCCTACGGAAACTCCTTTCAGCTGATGGCTGCTCACAAATCATGGAAATGATTACATTATATCACATCTCATCATGGAGAATGACTACATCCTAAGTGCTAAACCACTGAGAATCATGGCCTAGCCAAGTTGACACACAACTTTAACAATCACACCTACTTTCCTGGAATTTTTCTAAAGAATGTTTTCTGTTCTAGCAGTAATTTTCAAACATAAGGATCAGGGACTTTGAGAGACAACTTGTGTAATTTTTGGCAAATTAATTGGCCTCTGATTTTGTTACCTAGAAATCTACTACAAATGGGATGGCCTTAACAAACAGGAGTTTATTCTCTTACAATTTGGAGGCTTTAAGTCCGAGTTCAAAGTGCCAGGCTCTAGGGGCTGGTGAAAGCCCCTCAACCTTGGGCTTTAGCTCTGCCCCCTGCTCCTGACCCACAGGAGCTAGAGGCTTTTCTTCACTCAGACAGCTGCTGGCTGCTGAGGCTGACAAGACCAAGGTTGACAAGTAAAAAGATATGTTCCCAATGTTACCAAACCACATGGCAGGTCATTAATTCAAATCCATTGAAAGTCCTAAGGACAGCAGAGCATGGCAGGCTGCTGAACAATGACATGACTATATGCAGGGTTCAAGCGTGCCATCAGCTAGAGACCATTCCCAAAGCTGCTGCTTATATACAGGAAGTGGACCACATCCCTAAAGCAGCTACTCAGCTGCTTGTGGTAGATCCCACCATGGATTTGATTGCCATTCTCACCATGGGGGAATAACTACTACCAGCTGCCCAGCCACTCAACCAGGCCCAACCAAGTTGACATACAGCTTTAACTACTACAGCCTCTCTAAGTGACTGTTTTTTTTTTTTTTCCATCTGTGGAATGAAGATAGGAATAATACTACAGCACATGCTTCATGGGTGCATTATGGGAAAGGTGATTATTTTATCTTTAGTCAAGTATGCAAAAAATCAGTGAGGTCCAGACAGGTGATGTTTGCCTGAGGCAGTTGTAGGTGAACAGTCGGGACAGGTGGATCTGTGGTGACTTGGAGGACACTTGCTCAATCTTAAGCCATTCCATTTTGGATGTTTTGAAAAATGTTTTGTAGGCCAAACAAAAGATGTCTGCCAAATATAGCTTGTGAAATGCCTGTTTTGCACCTTTAATATGGAAATGAGGTTCAAAAATGTTTCAAAGGGTTAATATGTGACAACCAGCTAGGACAGTGTCCAGTCTATAGAGGGCATGCAAGAATGGTGCCGCTGCTGCTGTTGGTGTTAACCATTGTTATTGCTTTTTCTCTCAGTAGCTTGGAGTACCCGAGGAGGAAGCTAGGCAGGTTGAGGATGGCAGGAGCAGCAACAGTTCTGTAGTTTACCTGAGGTGTTATGGATTTTCTTATTGACTGATACAATCCTATTCAAAGCTTGACAAAAATGGTTTTCCAAAAAAGTTTAAGGCTAGTCACTATTCTAGATTAATCATGCTATACTTCTGTATTAAACTAGGGAATGAAGAATTGACTCATGTGAAAATGAATTGAGATTTTGAAAAATATTAATACAAAGATCTTTTGGGGAATGTAAATCTTTTTTATTTATAGTAACATTTTAGACTTTTAGTGTCCTTGAGAAATTATTACATTCATGTAGTTGACAAAAAAAAAAAGTGTTGGAGTGTTTTCCTAATTGACAGACTTGATTGATGGAACGGTCCCTGAAGTCCCATAATTGAGCAAACAGCTTGTCACCATACAAATAATTAAAATACCATTTGAAAAATGTACACTGTGACAAGTGCTAACTTAGATGTTGTTAACAGCTACTCTTCTGAACACAGATTTTCAAGTGATATGAGCCCTTTTGTTTTGTTTTGCTGCTTCTTGCAGAGACAGTTTTAAGTAAGCCATGTTTAATGAGCTATTAGAAATGTGAAGGCCTCCGGAATGGGAACCATTTTGTTTCACACTGAAGGGTGCAACTGCAAATGACCGTTTAGTTGCCCTAAATGAAAACTGTCTGCAGCCAGTTGCATAGCTCTCATTTTAGATTTTATATCTGTGTTTTCCTTTTTGTATTCCCTCAAACATGGCATACTACATGAATTTAGTTTTTTTTTTTTTTAAAGCAACAGATGGAAATAACAGCTCTTCCGCTTTGCTTCCGCATCCTCCTGGCAGAGGCACACATCAATCTGTTGTCACTAAGAGCTTTAGTTCACATTTGGATTTCATTTCACTCAAAGCTGTTTTGTAGGAACATAAACATTTTCCTATTCAATGAGGCGGCCTGTAGCTCGGTTCTCGTTTCTACCCAGGCATTTGTCACGCCAAGATTGTTCCATGACTAAAGTGTCTAAAACCAGTTGCTGTTGAATTGACTGAATCCTGGAGATCTCATGTGTGTCAGAGTAGAACTCTGCTTCACGTGATTTTCAATGACTGAGTTTTTCAGAAGTAGACTTCTTCTGAGGGGCCACTGTTGTTGTTGTTTTGTTATGTGCCGTTGAGTCAAACCCAACTCATAGCGACCCCTCCGTGGGTTTCCAAGGCAGTATCACTATGGAAGTAGATTGCCCAACCTTCCTTCCGAGGAGTGGCTGGTAGGTTTGAACCGCCAGCTGTCTGGTTAGCAGGCAAGTGTCTTAGCCACTATGCTACCAGAGCTCCCAAGGGGCCACTGGATGGACTCAAATAGTCATCCTTTTGGTTAGTAGCCAAGTGCTTAGTCATTGTACCATCCATGGACTACCCCGTCTGCATGGGTCTCAGTTGTTGGTTCAGAAGAACCAATATTGCTCAGATGTCAGAATGGAAGGACTTTTGTCCTCATTCTACAGATGAGTCTACTCCGGCCAAAAGAGGAACTCTGTAGTTAGAAAGTCTTCACTGAAATTCATGTTTCTTGGTCTAGTTCTTTCTTTCTTTCTTTCTTTTTTTTTTTTTTTGATGGGTGATATGCAGTCTGTACTTCTGCATTTTAAGATAAGGAAATAAGGGCTGAAAGAGAAAGAAATTGTTTGCTGAAGGTTACTAACCTAAAGTTACTAGTCAGGGTTCAAACCTGGATGCACCTGATTCTAAGTAACTCTACGTAGAATCAGCCCAAAATGTCATCTTTGTTTCATGTTTCATGTCCCATGTATCTTAGCCCTGCTATGGACCAATGAGGATTTTAGCCTAAGCTCCCTGTCCCTCTCATTCTACACAATCACCTGTTTCCATGGCTTGTCCCAGTGGTTGTCACATCTGCATCTTCAGCCCAGATTGTTCTGCACAGATTTAAATCCAAGTCCAGATGTTCCCATATCATCCTCTGCTTTCCCATCATAGCCTGTGTTTTGCTGTGTTGTGATTGTTTAGTTCTCCTCCCTGCAAGACAAAAAGCCCTGTGAGCATAGGCACCCAGTTCCTTGCTATATCCTTAGTGCCTTGCACAGTGCATAATAAGTATTGGTTGCATGAGCATAACCCACAGGAGTAGTCTCCTGGGTCTGGTGAGCAGGTACTTAGGGAGAGCAACACATTCTAGGAGTGGAAACAGCCAGGTCTTCACATAAGATGTGGCAGAAATAACACAGAATTGGGGACACTGTGTAACAGTGTATATGTGTAACATATCTCCCTCAGCCTGGGGCAGTACTGGATTGTAAGAATTGCTTCTTGAATGAACACATATAAGGTAAGAAAGTAATAGGGTGCATAGGATATATGTGATAATTTTCTGGTCATAGGGAAGGGAGACAAGGGGAAAAATAGGAAGCAGAAAAGAGGATATTAGCATCGATAGATAAGCGCATACTGAGCTAAAAAGACTAAATGGAGCTCTTGTATATATATATATGTCAATCTTGCATGGAGGATGTACTGAGCAGGAAGCTTTGAAGGAAGGCAAAGTATCTGAGGCATTGGGACGTGCTTCCTTTGGGGACCTTTTCTATTTAACACTTTGCCAGAGGGTAACACATCTTTAACGATAGTGAAAATATTTAACATCATTAAAGATAATACTGATAATACTGATGAAAATGAAAGACTGCAACCTTCAGTATGAATTTCACCTCAACATAAAGAAAACAAAAATCCTCACAACTGGACCAGTAAGCAAAATCATGATAAACAGAAAAAAGACTGACATTATTAAGGATTTCATTTTACTTGGATCCACAGTCAACACCCATGGAAACAGCAGTCAGGGAATCAAATGACATACTCTTTTGCAAGGCTGCAAAAGATCTCTTTAAAGTGTTAAAGAGCAAAGATGTCACTTTGAAGACTAAGGTGTGCCTGACCCAAGCCATGGTATTTTTAATCGCCTCATATCTACCAGCCACTCCTTGAAAGGGAAGGTGATACTGCCTCGGAAGCTCAAGGAGAGGTCGCTGTTGAGTCACAATTAACTCAACAGTAGTGAGTTTGGTTTTTGTATGCATGTAAAAGCTGGACAATGAATAAGGAAGACTGCAGAAGAATTGATGCATTTGGATTATGGTGTTGGTAAAGGATATTGAATATATACCACAGATTGCCAGAAGAACAAACAAATGTATCTTGAATGAAGTGCAGCCAGATTACTCCTTAGAAGCAAGGATGGTGAGACTGTATGTCTTGTACTTTGGTCATCAGGAGAAACCATTCCCTGGAGAAGAATATCATGCTTGGTAAAGTAGAGAGTCAGAGAAAAAGGAGAAGAACCTCAATGTGATGGTTTGATACAGTGCAACAATAGGCTCAGGTATAACAACAGTTGGGAAGATGGAGCAGCCATGTGCATTATTTCATTCTGTTGTGCATAAATTGCTATGAGTCAAAACTGACTCAGTGCTACCTAACAACAACAACAACAACAAAGATACTGTCCCTAGAAAGCAGAGCTAATACTACTGGGGATTTTGTCATAGCGAGATTTTGATATAGGCAAAAATTAATTGCCGATATATTTTACATGAGGAGCTCTGGTAACATAGTGCCTAAGGCACTTGACTGCTAACCAGAAGGCTGGCAGTTCAAACCCACCAGCTACTCCTCAAAGGAAAGTTGGACAATCTACTTACATAGTGATAGTGCCTCGGAAACCCAAGGAGGGGTCGCTATGAGTCGGGACCTACTCGATGGCACATAACAACAACAATAGCAGCATACTTTATATGAGCTATTTAAAGAAAATGAACATGATTCTCACCCTATACTTCCAACCTCTCACCACATGGCAAATTATAAAAGGTAGAAGCATTATCCTATGGATCCTGTGCAGGCACATAAAGTGGTATTTGTTGATCATGTGACAACTTGGAAAGGGTATTATTGCTTAGGGATTTTGGAAGAGGAGAATTAGTTTTCACTGTGCCATATTTTCACTGGCACCTATTTTTATGTCCTAGAAATCTCCTAATTATTAGAAATTATAGCATTAGAGAGGTATATGTGGGGAACTCTGATCAGTTTGCTTTTGTTGAAGCTTGGATTCCTAGTGCTGAGCCTACAGCCTGAGGCAGAGCATGTTGGTAGCAGCCTCCTAGGCAAGGAGGGAGTTTAATTCTATTTATCATGAACAGAAACCTATTGGTTTAAAATAGAGTGATGACAGCTAGTAAATAGGCAAGTGGATGAGGAGAGGCAGCTCCCAGATGAATTATGCAAAAGATGTATGAATGGGAATTCAGTGAGAGTTCATTGATAAATTTAATGCCATATGGTAAATGACCACCCAAGAGACAGTGCTCAGGAGAGACCTGATTGACTTAGTCATTGATTCAGGGCTAATGCATTTCTAATGGTTACCCAGATGCATTTTCTAATTGGTGATTACATCACTGTTTGTTCCAGAATAAAGCATGAATCATCCTCCAGTGATGAAGAGCATGCGGCTGCCAAACCATCAAATGCAAGCCACCTCCCTCTTTTGTCTAATGTCAGCTACAAAAAGACTCTCCGGCTCACTTCAGAGCAGCTGGTGAGTCTCTTGTTTCACCACAGCTATGTTTGTTAGTATTCACCAAGTGACAGTCGTCCGGGTGTGGTATGTGTGATGGGCTCTCACTTTCTGGATCCTGCTTTTCTTTCTAAAAAAAAAACTCACTACCATCAAGTCGGATCTGACTCATCGCAACCCCTCCTTGAGTTTCTGAGGCGGTATCACCACGGAAGTAGGTTGACCAACCTTCCTTCCGAGGAGTGGCTGGTGGGTTTAAACCACCAGCCTTCTGCTTAGCAGTCAAATGCCTTAGGCACTACGCCGCTGGCACCTTTTATATTCCAGGATACTTGCTACCCTCCGGCTACCTCAAACCCCTCATTTTGGTACCTCATGTTTCCAGATGCTCCTCACTATAACATCAGCACCCTATCTAGGCTGACCCTTTAATATTACCTTTGGGAGCTCTGGTAGCATAGTGCCTAAGGCGTTTGACTGCTAACCAGAAGGCTGGTGGTTCAAACCCACCAGCCATTCCTCGGAAGGAAGACTGGGCAATTTTCTTCCGTAGAGATACTGCCTCGGAAACCCAAGGAGGGGTCACTATGAGTCAGATCGACTCAACAGCAGTGACTTAGGTTTTTTTGTTTTATTTTGTTTTGTCTTCCCTAACCCAGTACTGGAGGCTCTTTTTTCTAAGTGTTGGGAGGAGAGCAGTCTGATTAAATGAATTTATAGCGAAGTATAAATGAATGATAGAGCTTAAAAATCTCTTGGGTGTTTTTACTTTGAAATGTTTGTTGGCTCAAATACATCTCTTAAATTGGTGAACATCATGCAGTTGTGATGGGATTTAGAGAATTTGAGGTAGCAGCAGGCATTATCTGGTCACAATGTCCTTTTTTGCTTATGTGTAAGACCAGTCTTAGTTAGGCCCATTCCTTCCCTGGATCCTGTTTCCTCTGATCAATCAGTGAGCCAATATCCCTCCTTTTTTTTTTTTTTTTTCTAACATATAGCCTTTTGCTTTTATGCTAAGAGTTAGTGGAGGGCCAGGCTTAGTTGTGATGGCATTTAATGGAAGAAGATAAGGAACAGGCCCAGATAAGCACATGATGCCATGTACGTGCAGTCTCTCTGCAGCTGCCATGACCCATGGCTCTCACCAGCAACTCTGGGGCAGAGCTGTTGAGTCAGGCAGCCCTGTGGGTCTGTAGAGGCAGGTGGCATTCATTGGAGGAGCCAGCAAAGAGGTTCAGGACTGCCAAAAGAGAATTTTTCTTTTTGAATTTGGTTGTGATTTCCTTCAGTTTAGACTTACTCTTCCAGATATAAGGTGTGACTGATAACTAAGACTTTTTTCTTCTTCATTTGGGTTAGTGTAGTAATCATTAAAAATATAATTATTTAGAAAAACATTTTCACGCCTAGCAAAATTAACTTCTCAAATCATGACTCTTCATATCTAGTCATGGAGTCATAAGTAGCGTAGTGCCTAAGGTTCAAACCTACCAGCCACCCCTTGGAAGGGAGGTTGGACAATGGACTTCTGTAGTAGTGATACTGCCTTGGAAACCCAAGGAAAGGTTGCTATGAGTCGGATCCGACTCGACAGCAGTGGGTTATTCTGAAATTGTGAGTTATTATGCCAATCCTTAGAACCCATCATTTATCCCAGTCCCATAGTTCTCATTCAGGAATATTGAAGCACGTTTGCCATGGAAGTAGATGCCTGTGTAGGAAGTAAGCTAGCTGCATTATAGGTGAGCTTCAGAGAAGAGCTGAGGGTCTTCTGTCCAACCCCTGAAAGACCCTCCTGTTTTAGAGCAAGGGAGGGGAAAGAAGAATTACACAATGGCCTAGAGTAACAACTCTTTTAAAAAGCCTAATCCTCCTTCTCATGCAACAGAAACCAAATGTCTCTCAATCTTGGCCTTCCTCTCAAGTGGATAAATAGTTCATGTTTTTCAGAAAAGCTTAAAGTTGAAGAATGGCCCAAATGATGTGGTTTTCAGTGTTACCACACAGTATCAAGGCACCTGTCGCTGCGAAGGCACCATCTATTTGTGGAACTGGGATGACAAAGTCATCATTTCTGATATTGATGGAACAATCACTCGGTAGGTATATCTGAGTTGGGATTTTCCTTGGGCAATGATGGATTTCTTAACTTCAAGGTGGACTACCTGGGTCTGGTGTTAGCATTTCACTTCTCTGTCTATAGCATCATGGAAATCATACAGATTGATTTCTGGTACACTTAGTGCTGCTCGTGTAGTCTTAGTTCCTTGAATTAAGTAGCTGTATTTGGTGTGGTTATTGTTGTCATCTAGGGCATCGTCTCCTGACTTTGCTGCTTACAGGGATGCTTATTAAAGAGTATCTTTTTCTGAATGGCCTTTTCATTTTTACTTGGCACATCAAGAACCTTAATACATGAGTGGGTGGAAGGTGCCCTTTCATATATTAAAGATATCCTTTCCTGAGCCTCACATTTGATTAATTTAGCCTTGGACTTTCTATCCAAAAATAAGACCCTGGGTCTCATTTTCATTTTTTAGGAGGCATTTGTGGTGCCATGAATAGGTTCGTGTTCCTTTTGCTGGTTTCCTTTTTACTTTGATTTTTTTTTTCCCCTCATTTCTACCTTTATTTAGATCAGATACACTTGGCCACATTTTGCCCACCCTTGGGAAGGATTGGACCCATCAGGGGATTGCTAAGCTGTACCATAAAGTGAGCCAGTAAGTACAGAGCCATTGTTTCTCCTCTCTTGCCACACTGTTGCTGGACTCATTACAGTCTGCACACAGAGTCATTACTGCCAGGGGACTGGCTAATTTACAAAGAGAGGTGCACATAAACCACAGAGGGGCAAGTGAGGGTGGGGGTCGAAAATAATAAGTGTGCAGTGAATCACAGCAACTTCAAATTTGAATTCAATACCAAAAAACAGGAAAGGGTGGATGGGTGAATTGAAAATTCATGGGAGGAAGAAGAAGGTGGTAAGTGTTTGGAGAGGGATTAAAGTTCAATTCATACTGAAGAATGTTAAAGGTAATCAGATGAAGAAATGGTGGTATTATATATTCTAAGTGATTTATTTTTGTTTAAAAAGTTGCAGATTCAACATTATGCTGAGCGAAATAAGTCAGTCACAAAAGGACAAATATTGTATTAGTCCGTTATTGTAAAAGTTAAGGAAATGTTTATATATTGGAGGACATTTTCTTTGTTGGTTACCAGGGGTGGGAGGGAAGGGGAGGGAATGCTGTTAGATAGATAGAGATAAATATTGATTTGGGTGAAGAGAAGGGCAATGTACCAAATGTGAGTGACCAATATGGCAGCATTGAGGATGAGAAAGACAGAGAGAGTTACATGGGCAGTACAAACAACAAATATGAACCCCTTTGTAAATACAATACTGAGTTGTTAATGAAAGCAAACATGGGTATAGGGACGGATAGATGGGTGAACAAGCTAAACAATTATGTATGTCTAAATGGAGAGTGTATCCAAGATCATATACAGGGTTGGCAGACAATGGGCCTCTTGAAGAGTATGAAGGGATGGACACTGGGAGGAGGTAACTATGGGGAGGAAGTGGGAGGGGAGCTGCTGCATTGTAAATTTTGGTCAATGACATGAGACAAAGTATATGTGAACTGCGGTATGAAAAGTGAATTTACTCTGTAAATCTTCACCCAAATCCTAATTAAAAAAAAAAAAAAAAAAAAGTTGCAGATTCAAAGCAAGTCTTCAGTCATGTAGGAGTACACATCTATATACCTGATCTGTGGAGCAGTTGGGCTGAGTGGCCAAGACAGAAAAACACACACTGTGGGCCCCAAATCCAAAAGATCAAAGAAGTATATTTCTTAAACTGCTGTCTTGTATCAGGCACATGTGTGACTTCACTAAAATCTTAGAATTCTGAACAACAAGTATTATCATTTCTATTTTTAGATAACTAAAATTAACTTGGAGAATTAAAATGATTTGCTCAAATTCCCACAGCTACACTGGTAGAACTCATTAATAAACCCAAGTCAGTTCTATCTTTTCATGGGTGAGGAAGATGAGGCCCCTAGGCATTATACAGTTAGTGAATGTCAGGACTTGGAACCCAGGCCTCATGATCCTCAACCTAATGTGTTCACCTCTGGTCCCTGTTGGTAGTGACAGGGTGTGGGCAGTAATATTTCTGGTACTCTACAAACACAGATAAATATACTTTCCTGGACTTCCTTCATTCATTTATCTGACATTACTAAGTGCTTATTAGGTACCTAGGAGCTCTGATGGCATAGTGGTTAAAGCATTCTACTGCTAACCAAAATATCAGTCGTTCAAACCCACCAGCTGCTCTGTAGAAGAAAGATGAAGCAGTCTTCTTCTGTAAATATTTACAGCCATGGAAACTATGGGACAGTTCTGCTCTGACCTAATGGGTCACTATAAATTAGAATTGACTCGATGGCAGTGGGTTTGGTTTTGGCTTGGTATTACGTGTCCAGTCCTATGATAGTTGCTTGGAATATAATGAACTAGACATAGTTTCTGACCTCATGGGCCTTGTAATCCAGTAGGGGGAGCGTGGTTTGGGGAAAGAGAAGATCTTATATCCTGCTGAGATTGAAATTATCCGATTTCTAGATGCTCTGGTAGCATAGTGCCTAAGCCACTTGACTGCTAACCAGAAGGCTGGCAGTTCAAACCCACCAGCCACTCCTCGGAAGGAAGATGGGGCAATCTACTTCCGTAGTGATACTGCCTTGGAAACCCAAGGAGGGGTCGCTATGAGTTGGGTCTGACTTGACAGCAAATAACAACAACAACAACAGATGCTCAGCTGGCTAGACCGACCCTATTTCTGTAGGATTCATCTTTAAAAAAATTATAAAAGTCATGTTTCTTTGAAAAAGAAGCAAAGATTATAGAAATTTAAAAGTGCAGAGTTTTTTTTCCCCCTTCCTGCCCTACTACCAAGCTAATTCTTTCCCTAAAAGTGGCAATACTGTTAACAGTTTGAGTTCTTCTGTTGGACTTAAAAAATGCATTTACACACTTTCTACCGTCCATACACACGTGATCACATTACTTAATAATGCATTCTATATTTTTGTTTCTTTGCATATAAGCTTTACCTCATTCTTTAAATTATTGCCCAAAATTCTGTTGTGTAGATAACATGCATTATTTAACTAATGCTTTATTGATGGTCTTCAGTTTTTTCACTCTTTCAAACAGTGATGCAGTAAGCATAATGTTTATTATATATAATGCATGTGTAAATAAATAAATATAGACATACACATTTAGGGCAGTATTGCTGTAAAATAGATTTCCAGAAGTAGAATTGCTGGGTCAAAGGATGAGTGCCTTTAAAGATTTGATCAATATTGCTAAATTGCCCTCTGAAAAGGTTATCCCAATCTGTACTCCCATGGACAGTGTATGCACCATCTCCTCTGCCCACAACTGTACCATGGGCTGACCTTTTATTTAGAGGGAGTAATCTTTTCATGATGCTTAGACTTGCATGACCCTGAAAATTACATCTAATTTTAGTTGAAAGAGATCCTCATGGGTCAGGATACTGAGTAGTTTACAGTCTGATTCACTTTGGTTTTTGGGACATAAATCTATTCCTGCCCTTACTGTAACATTGAGGGGAAAAAAAAAAAGCACAGGCACTTTTTTTTCTTGGTTTTGATTTGTGTCTTAGATTTCCCAGAAAAGATATCTTCCTGAAAAATTAGGTTGTATAGCTTACCAAAAGACACTTGGTCTTTCTTTTATTTGATTGATTGGTTTAGAGTGAATGAGATCTGTTTAGATCCGAGAATACTTCTAATATTATCATTTTAGGTAAAAGGACAAAGCATACTGTGGTGTGGAGACTTGACTGGGAGGTTTGCAGTGATGTGTAGGGCTTCTGGAGCAGCTGTTTAAAATTCAGGATAGCCTTGACTTTCAGAGGTTCCATACTTAGCACCTATAGGATAGCTATAGCTTTCAAAGCCCAGGAGTTTTGGGCCCCAGCCTTCTGATGGAATCCCTATTTTCTGCTTCTTCTCAAATCTTGCTCTAATCCAGCCAACTGTATTTCTCAATCTCCACTTCATTTCCGTGCCTTCCTGCCCTTGCTTATTTGATGGCCTCTGCTTGCTATGCCTTTACTTTTGATCTTTGCTTCTCAACATGTATTTATCCTTTAATACTTGGCTCTAACCCACAATCCTCACAAAGCCTTTCCAGGCTAGAATCAGCGACCCCAGTCAGTTTTAATCGCAACCTGCTCTAGGCTTATCAAGCCTCTTATTCTTGCCTGATTGTCCAAGGACTTGGGCCTGGTTTGTTGATCTTGGTCCCATTATGGAGTTCGAGTATAGTCTGCACATGGTATAAAGCTTCTGTAGCTGTTGATTAAAGTAAATTGCAGTAGCAGATTGCTTTGTAGGTCTTAGGCAGCCACAGCTGTGAAAAGTGCCAAGACTATAAATTGATAAGGGTTTGTGACTCACTAGGATCCCTGGTGGGTCAGAGGTTAAGCACTCGGCTGCTAATCGAAAGGTCGGCAGTTTGAACCTACCAGTTTCTCTGTGGGAAAAAGATGAAGCAGTCTGCTTTCATAAAGATTTAAACCTTGGAAACTCTGTGGGCAGTTTTACCCTGTCCTGTAGGGTAGTTGTGAGTCAGAATTGACTCTACAGCAGTGGGTTTGGGATTTGGTGTGACTCACTGGTCTGAGGAATCCAGGTTTTTCTTTTGAAGTTGTATTTATTACCTAGAAATATACTTAGCTTGCTAGACTGCTAGGAAGAAGATGCCACTTAATTTCAGAAGTTTGGATTGATCACGCTTTCCTGACCCTGCTTTCCTTGAATATGGGTACCTCTTAAATTGTATGCACTGCAATATTTGTCTAATGGAAAAACTATCTTGCAGATAGCCAGTTGCCTGGAAACAACAGAAAATAAGGACAATTTGATCGCTGAGTTTCCTTGTTTGAATATGGTTTGCCTGTGAGAAATGATCTGTAAGGCTGACTGCTACCTTGTTCATGAAAAGGGTATGGAGCTTACTTGGTTGCTGATGTTTTTAAAAAGAACATTTATGTACTTGGTTATAGATTAAAAGGAACTTGGAGCGCTTATAGCATAGTGCCTAAGGCATTTGACTGCTAACCAGAAGGCTGGCCGTTCAAACACACCAGCCACTCCTCAGAAAGAAGACTGGGCAATCTACTTGTGTAGTAATACCACCTTGAAAACCCAAGAAGAGGTTGCTATGAGTCAGGTCTGACTTGCCAGCAGTGAGTTTGTTTTTAGTTTACAGCAAATATAAATGAAAATATACGAATCTTCCTATTTCTTAAAATATCTAGATTGTTGAGCTAATAGGTCTTTTGAGGATTAAGTTTAGATAACAATTAGTTTGATTTTGTACCTTGTTGGATATGTATTAAACATGTCATACACACACACACACACACACACAAATATAGTATTGAAACAGTGTCTCCATGACTTAGCTAGAGCAAATACTTATTTTGTTTCCCCAAATAAATTAGGTTATTTCTGTGGTCTAAGGTGTATATCATCTGAAGCCCATGTATTATAAAATGGGAAATAATCATTAGCAGACTTGTTAGGATCTTTCTTACTTCTTCTGACCACAACATTTATTTATTTATTTCACTTAAAATCTTTTTAGTTATCGTATTAGTTCATTATTG